GATAATGTTCTAGCGAAGCGATTCAACATTCCAAATCCATTCCCAGGAGCTGGGATCGTTGGGGTGCCTCATCTTCAAAAAAGCGCCAAGAAAGAAACTCTGCTGAATCTTGGTTTGCCCCAAACTGCTAGTGAACTTGCTCACAGGTAAACTATCGAAAACTGCTTTCTAAAGGGGTATGAAAGTCATGCTTTAAGGAGAGCTCGGGAGATAGAACATCTTGAGGAAGAAGAAGCTGAAGAGCAGAAATCCAAGGAGCCAAAAGAAGATGACCTGGATCGACCTCCTCAGTCGATCTTTGATGTCATCTTTGGAGAGAGTGAAAGTGAGAGCGAAAGTGAAAACGATGAGGTGAAGCAGGAAGAGGAAAAGAAGAAGAACACGGAGGATAGTAAGGAAAAGAAGGACAACGAAGATAAGGAGATAAAGAAGGAGATTAAAGTGGAAACGTCCGAGACAGTGGAAGAAGAACCAAAGAAGCCTGTCACTGTCATGGATATAGTGGACGACGAGGAGGACTTTGGACCTGCACCTCCACCAAGTACTAGTGAAAGTGAATTGATTTCGAATATATCAATCTTTGCTTCTTCTAATTAAAATCCTTTTTTTAAAGAACCAAAAATAGAAGTCGAAATAAGTGACTATTGTATTCTTGATTAGATTTCCATTCAGCTGGCGTCATTCTTTTTCAGCAATAACTGGGTTTTCTGTGTTGAAGTATCTCAAGGAAGAGATAGGCAAACGAAAAGATAAGAAAAAGAGAGAACATAAGAAACACAAACCAAAGGTTAGTTATATTTGCGTCTTTTTTCTTTGATACCTTTGCTAGGAAGATGAAGTTCGGTTTACGGCAGTATAAAAAATATGATTTTTGTTTTTTGTGTAGTCAATTAGTAGGAAAGTTATGGTGGTGTAACTTTAGACTTGAAATTTTCTCATTTGTTACTTTAAAGATAGAAGACGTTAGAATGATAGTAGAACTTCTGATTTTTTTAAAAAGGGTTTGAAGGGTAGTCAAACCAATTTTCCAAAAAGGATTAGATAACGGATTATGGATAAGCAACGTGGGCTTTCCTCAATTGACGTAGAGTAAGCCGTATGGCATCTCTTTTTTAAGGTTGGTCTGCTTTGGATGTCTATTGTAGGTCTGTCAAAATTTGTGTGGTCTCTCACATCTGACGATAAAGTGAAGCTTCCCTTGAAGTAGTTATATTCAGGAACCCATGCATGATTCCAAATTAAGACAGCAGTCGGTTTTTCTCCAATATATTTTCAATTCAGAAATCCAAAAAAGAGAAGTCCTCCAAAAAATCCTCGAAAAAGGAGAAATCTGACAGAAAATCTCATGAAAGACATCGACATCATCATCATCATCGTCATCGTCATCATCACTCGCCTTCCTCGTCATCCAGCGACTCTTCAGTAGTTGAAGTGATCGATTAAGCTTGTTTTTGTGAATACGGGTCACGTTTGGTTATTTCTCAAAATTCTGTGTTTTTGCCCATTATGATCTGTGGAGTGATTGTAAATACCTTATACACAAATAAATTTCTGTATTGAGCGTATAAACAGGTTTGCCCGCTATGTCTTAGTTGATAAGTTAACTTCGAAATAGTTAGCATTCAACTTTTATTATTGTTGGCTTTTCCCACATCATGGTCGATGGTATGTGTGACTTTCGGTTTGAAAGTGCTGTCAGTATTTCACTTTTCAGTGAATGTCTTCTTGTAGGTCTTACCG